CCCCTGAAAGTTCAAGCAAGATTCCAGTTAACAGAAGCGGGATGCAGTGGCAATGCTCCTGTTTGATGTTGCACAGACTTGGTTAAGCCTGGTATGAGATTGGCGTGCAGCCCTGTGAAAGGATAAATATTCTGATGCCATCGGAGAATGGCGGTACCAAGACGATAAATTCCCCCCCCTCCCACTTTTCAGCACAACAACCACCTCTGTGAACGAGATAGAACAGAGAGTTCAGAGTCACCAGGGAGAGTCTGTGGATCTAAGTGGATCTCCTTGCTGCTATTCCAACTCTTTACCCAATACGTGAAACCATCTCTCCAAAATAAGGAATGGAATAGAGAATGGAATGGAATGCAGAATGGAATGGAACAGAACAGGAATGGAATAGAATAGAATAGAATAGAATAGAATAGAATAGAATAGAATAGAATAGAATAGAACAGAACAGAATCTTTATACGGAATAGAACAGAATAGAATAGAACAGAACAGAAAGAATAGAATAGAATCTTCATACGGAATAGAATAGAATAGAATAGAATAGAATAGAATAGAATAGAATCTTTATACGGAATAGAATAGAATAGAATAGAATAGAATAGAATAGAATAGAATAGAGATGGAATAGAATAGAATAGAGATGGAATGGAATGGAACGAAACAGAACAGAATAGAACATTGTTTATTGGCCAAGTGTGATTGAACCCACAAGGAATTTGTCTCTGGTGCAGAAGCTCTCAGCGTATATACAAGAAACAAAAGTGATAAATCACAAATCATAAAAAGATGCAATCACAGGTCATAAGATGCAGCCAACCAAGTGACAGTCATAAGATAGGAGCAGGTAATAGGAAAGATGAGAAGGATAAGAGTAATGCAGGCCTACTACATGGTTAGATATCTGTAGGCATAAGACCATGCTTGTGGGAATTCTGTGTGTTTAGCAGAGGGATGGCACGGGGGAGGAAAAACTGTCTCTGTTTCTAGTTGCTTTGGCATGCATTGCCCTATAGCAGCATCCCAGGGGGGAGCAGTTGAAACAGATTATATCCAGGATGTCAGGGGGGTCTATAGATACTTTCTCAGGCCTCTTTCTGGCTTGTACAGGTCCTCAATGGAAAGCGGGCTGGTTGCAATTGTTTTTTTTTTTCTACCACTAGCCTTCCTGACTATAAATATGGCTGGGGAATTCTGGGAGTTGAAGTCTCCAAGTTGTCAAGTTGCCAAGGTTGGACACCCCTATCCTGGAGGTCCTTAAGCCCCTTTCCCTGCCCTTCCTCTTGATTCTGAATTGCACTGATTTTTTTCTCTCTCTCTCCTTTGCTCCCATTCTGTGCTATTTCACACCACTTAATAATAGGGCAGTTGTTCCCAAGCTCTGTAATTCCTCACCCCCCCCCTTCCTGAATCTGGCTGGATTTAGCAGATGATGTCAAGCATCCTACTCTGATCACGTGTCCTCCAGCCTTCTCAATGAGCTGCTAACGAGTTGCCAATTACACTTGGCACCAGTGGGTACCCCTCCAGGCTTCAGGGCATCAGGAGAATTAAAGCAGGCGGCTTTGCAGGGCTTGGGAGTTAAATCATCTGGATTTAAAGCTCCTGAAGCGATCAAGAGCTGCCTGGCTTTGGGTTGGGATAGGGAGAATGTCAGATTAATCCACATTTAATTGTACCGTAGGCATTCTGGTGCCCTCCAAATATCCTGGAGTCAGAATCCCATAATTCCCAGCCATTAGGGCAGGGGTTTCTATAGGGGAAGGTCTAAAAGTCAACCGGGTGGGCACAATGGGGTGACTGAAGCAGCACACATACAGGAAGTCCTGTATTCGTTTAACGACCATTCAAAATTACAGCCGCTAGGCTGTTAGTAGGACAATATTGGAAGAAGGAATCTTTGCCTACATTGCAGGAATGGTTTCTTAAAGTAGCTTATCTGGCGGAAATGGCAAAGATTTCGGCTTTCTTAAAGCAACAAACGCAAGAGAAGTTTCTTGCTGTTTGGGATAAATGGATAAAATTTATACAATTTAGATTGGGTATACAAAAATATTATATAGTTTTTTCATAAGTTTTATTTTTATATATATTATAGATAATCTTTTTATATATATAAATATAAAGTTCTTAATTTAATTTTTATTTTTACTTCTTAAGCCTATATTCTGCTCTGGGAAGCTCAGGGGGGGGGGAAGGGAGGGGGGGGTTTTTTTGGGAGGGGTGGGGGGTTTTTTTTTATATTTTTTTTTTTATTGTTTAGTTTTATTTTTTTGTATATGTTGTCTCTTGTTTTGTATTCTTTTTTCTTTTTTGTAAAATTTATAAAACTTTTAATAAAAAAAAAAAAAAAAATTACAACGCTACTGGGAAAAAAATTGACTGACAACTAAACGGTCCTGGCCCTTAACAACTGTCAGTCTCCCGAGGTCATGTGCTCTGCATTTGCAACCTCATGATCATGGCCGGTCTCAGAAGATTGAAAATGTGTGTGTGTGGGGGGAAGATAACGGGCAGAATTATCTTCAGATGATAAATCAAGCAGAATACTGAATATAAATTAAGGAGGGAGGGATGGGTGGGAATTTGAATAAGGATGGAGAGGGCTGCATTTTTTAAAAAAAATGGACTTGAACGTGGAAGAAATTGCAACAGACCAATTTTGGCATGCAGGGAGTAATTGCAAGAGTTTTAATCTCTTAACTAATGGAATAAGAGCAATTCTGGAAAACCCTGATTTTAGAATACTGTATACCAGTGGTTCTCAACCTGTGGGTTGGACGACCATTTCACGGGGGTCACCAAACAACGCAGTCCGCCATTTCCCCCCCCCCCCTTTTCCTTAGCTGTGCTACTCCCTTTTATTCTATTGGCTTTTGAAAGCCCATAGAATAGACTCTCTTGAATAGAGTCTAATTCTATTGGCTTTCAAAAGCCAATAGGAATTGTCCAGGCTGTCTCTGCCCTGCTGAGCCCGCCAAAAGTCCCATTCTGTAAACGGTGCTGCACCAGTTGAGTAGTCCTCGACTTATGACTGGTTGAGTAGTCCTCGACTTACGACCGGTTGGGGGTCGCGGCATTAAAAAGGTTGAGAACCACTGCTGTATACTGTTCCAATTAAGGCTGTGCAATCTCTAGTGGAAATATATTTGTGCATTCTGAACAGAGGCTAGCTTCAAGACTCTTCAAGCAACAAAGAGTCTACCAAAGAAAACAAAAGTCCCCCCCCCCTTAAATACCAACCAGGCCAGATAAGCTTATCTTGGGAGAATTTTTATGTTTTAAAACTGGCTGCATTAGAAAAAAAACACACAGTTGATAGATCCTTCAGCAATTTCTCTTAAGCATTATCTAAATGAAAGGAAGATACGCAGCAAGTCTGTTTATCTTACAAGGACACTGCAAAGATAACTGGTTAAGGGTTCACGTTTACTTGTCCTTTTTGTGGATTTCAAAAAAATCTCTTTAAAAAAACCTGCTAGACTGGAATAGAGGCCTATTAAATGCACCCTGTAACGTAGGATATTTTGCTCCGTCACAGAAAAGATACGATCGGGGAAACAGGGAAAAGGACGATAGAAGAATGAAAGGGGAATCCGGAAAAAAAATGAAGATCTGATCAGTTTACGGCATTTCTCTCTTCTAATCTCTGTTTTCTAAATGGCAGCTGCCAGAAGGGTCTATCTCGGTGTTGTTTCTCAGTCTCGGCAGCTTGAAAAGATCTGGACCTCGACTCCCAGAATTCCCCAGCCTGCTTGCATGATGGAATGTTTGGCTCTTTTTTTTTTTAACCTGAGCAGGTGCACATAAAAAAGGGGTGAACCAATCTGCACTTGGGCCCCACCTTGACTTTTTTTGATATGCCCCCCCCCTCTGAAGTTGAATATAAGCTGGGAATTGGACAAGTTGGCCATTTGGGGGATATTTGAGGGGGAGAAATGGGTGCCTTAAGTGTCTTCCGGAGGCGCGATGGCTCAGCGGTTAAAGACACTGAGCTTGTGCGCTGGAAAGCTAACAGGCCTGGTACGAGACCCGAGTGATATGTGATCGGCTGAGTTCCCGTTGTTGCCTCAGCTCCTGCCCACTTAGCAGCTCAACAGCATGCAAACGCGAGTAGCTAAATAGGTGCCACTTTGGTGGGAAGGTAACAGCGTTCCATGCGCCTTGGCATATAGTCCTGCTGGCCACATGACCATGGAAATTGTCTTCGGACAAGGCTGGCGTCCTCAGCTAAGAAGCGGAGATAAGCATCGTCTCCTAGAGTCAGACATGACGGGACAGGGGAAATCTTTTCCTTTAAGCATCTTCCAGATCTAAGACACCAATTTTGTCCTTAAAGTCCACCTCCCACCATGAAAGTACAACAATACATTATCCAAGTCATCAAAACTCAGGATAATTCTGTTCGGGACTTCGGGAGGGAGGGAGAGAGAGGGGGAGAGGGAGAGAGAGAGAGAGAGAGAGGGAGGGAGGGAGAGAGGGAGGGAGAGAAGGAGGGAGAGAGGGAAGGGGAGAGGGAGAGGGAGAGGGAAGGAGGGGGAGAGAAGGAGGGAGGAAGAGAGAGGGAGGGAGAGGAGAGAAGGAGGGAGGAAGAGAGAGGGAGGGAGGAAGAGAGGAAAGAGGGGGAGAGAGGGAGATAGAGAGAAGGAAGGAGGAAGAGGGAGGGAGGGAGGCAGGAAGAGAGAGGGAGGGAGGCAGGGAGGGAGAGAGAAAAGGAGAGGGACTGTGAGAGCAAGAGATCCATTTATGCTAAAATTGTTAATTTTAATCTCTCTTTTCTCTGGCCACACCTCTGAAGCTTGAACAAGTATCTTAGCATTTTTAAAAAACGGCTTATGGTCACCTGAGCCAACATTCTTTCTCTGTACGAACCTTTCCTAATGACCAGGATGCCGTCAATTGACTTTGGGATCCTGGAACGCCAGTTCCCTTGCGCTGCTTGATGACCGCGATAGGCCGATTTCGATGATGGGTGACCGAGATCTTTCTCTTGCTCTCTTTCAGCATGACCATGAGTGCCGCCTCCATCGAGCAAGAGCCGTCGCGCAAGCTGGCCTGTTGCGGGGTCCCCTTGATCACGGAGGACATGCAGTCGCTGGCCATCCGCACCCTTTCTGGCACGGACATCAACAAGCACTACGACCTCATCCGTGAGCTGGGGAAAGGGACCTACGGGAAGGTAGACCTGGTCTCCCATAAGAGCACAGGTGAGTTCCAGGGAGGAGTGAAATACGATGTCCCTCTCCCCTCCCCAGGCGTGATCCATGCTTTGAATGGATTAAAAATGGTCAAAAAAAGAAAGAAAATTAACCCACTTGCTCCACTGCTAACTTGGTGTTTCTCAACCTTGGCAGCTTTAAGACGCGTGGACTTCAACTCCCAGGCTGGCTGGGGAATTCTGGGAGTTGAGATCCATGCGTCTTAAAGCTGTCAAGGTTGAGAAAAAAGCTGTCCAAGCCACAGGGCGAATTCTGGTGAAAAACAGACTAAGGTGAAGAAAATTAAGTGATGCACAGTTCAGGAAAATTCACGGAGAGCAGAGAAGGAGATACAGGCAGTCCTTGGCTGAAAACCACAGGCCAAAATGTCTGTGGCTAAGCAAGGAGGAGGCTAAACAGTCAGGTCCACTTTTACAGCCTTTTTTCCCATGGTTGTTAGGCGAATCAATGTTGTTAAGTGAATCATATGGTCGTTAAGCGAATCTGGCCTCCCCCCATTGAGTTTGCTTGTCAAAAGCCCGCTGGGAAGCTCACAAGTGGTGATCCTATGACCTTGGACACTGCAACTGTCATAGATACATGCACACGACCATGGGGATGCTACGATGGTTATAAGTGCGAGGACCAGTTGCAAGTCATGTTTTTCAGTGTTGTGGTAACTCTGAATGGTCATTAAACGAATGGGGTTGCAAGGCGAGGACTACCACATCTATACCTTCTCCTGGTGACCACACAAGGCATCAAGCACGAGCCACATTTCACAAACTGTAATGTCTCAATTTGTGCAATATGCTAAGCCAAACCTAACCCACAAACTGTGACTTAGCCAACATAGAGTTGTAGCCCAGGAAGACTTAAAAACTGGGACCGGTTATTTCGCTACTGATTAAATACGTTGGTTGAGGAACGGCCAACTGTACAAAAACTTCGGTCCTGTTAAAAGATCATGTTTTGAGTTCAAGCTTACCTGGGCAGTGGTTTCCAAAACCATTTTATTTCCTTGAAGCCCCCATCCTCCAGAGAGTTGCTCAAAGTCCTCTTTCTTGCCCCATCTTCTCCCTCCACAGGCACCAAGATGGCTCTGAAATTCGTCAACAAGAACAAGACCAAACTGAAGAATTTCTTGAGGGAGTTCAGCATCACCAATACTTTATCTTCAAGCCCTTTCATCATCAAAGTGTTTGATGTAGTCTTTGAGACGGAGGATTGCTATGTTTTTGCCCAGGAATACGCCCCTGGAGGAGACCTTTTTGATATCATTCCTCCACAGGTAAGTGGACCATGTTTGCTCCTTCTTGACCTGAACGGAAGGGAGGCAAGATGTCTTCTAATAGAATACCAAGATGGGCAACTGGGTGTATCTCTGTTTCCTGAAGCTATTTCATGGAAGCTTACTCCAATTATGATACTAACAATATGGTCTGGAAACTAAATGTGATCTTCTCATCTGGCCCACGGCTTCATCTTGTACCCTGCACAGATGTTACTTCTGTGGGAAGATTTCAAGAGTTGGGAAGGCTGGACAATGGAAGATTAACTTATCCCTCACACAGCAATTGCCATATGTGGCCTTCATTACTTGAATTTAAAGTAGTGCAGGTTGCTTCTCTCCTTGATTAGAGAACTTGAGAGGAGAGAACCTTATTGTCACTTTAAATGTACACAAATCGGCATACATTAATGCAGGCCGATTGGTGTACATTTGAAATGACAATAAAGTTATTCTCTCTCTCTCTCTAAGTTCTCTAATCAAAGAGAGAAGCAACCTAGAACTAAGGAGAAATTAGTTTCCATCCGTTGCTTCTTATCCTGCACTGCTTTGGAAAATAGTTTGACTCCCCTCTTCTTTGTGGCAGCCCCTTAAATATTGGAACACTGCTATCATGTCACCCTTAGTCCTTCTTTTCATTAAACTATATCAGGGGTCCTCAAACTTGGCCACTTTAAGACTTGTGGACTTCAACTCCCAGAATTCCGCTGGCTGGGGAATTCTGGGAGTTGAAGTCCACAAGTCTTAAAGTGGCCAGGTTTGAGGACCCCTGAACTATACCATTACAATATAGCTTGAGATGCTCCTGGGCATGCCCAGCTGTAAACTCAGCTCTTGACATCTCTGTCTGCCTGCAGGTGGGGCTGCCAGAGGACATGGTGAAGCGCTGTGTGCAACAGCTGGGTCTAGCACTGGACTACATGCACAGCAAAAACTTGGTTCACCGGGACATCAAGCCGGAAAATGTCCTCCTGTTTGACCGCGACTGCCGGCGCGTCAAGCTGGCCGACTTTGGCATGACGCGCAAGGTGGGCTGTCGGGTGAAGCGCATCAGCGGCACCATCCCGTACACAGCGCCTGAGGTGTGCCAGGCAGGCCGGGCGGAGGGCTTCACCGTGGACGCGAGTATCGATGTGTGGGCTTTCGGGGTACTCATCTTTTGCGTGCTGACCGGCAACTTCCCCTGGGAAGCAGCCACGGCCTCAGACTCTTTCTTTGAGGAGTTTGTGAGGTGGCAAAAGGGGCGCCTGGTGGGGGTGCCCTCTCAGTGGCGCCGCTTCACAGACAACGCCCTGCGGATGTTCCAGCGCTTGCTGGCCCTCGACCCAGAGAAACGCTGCCCGGTGAAGGAGCTCTTTCTCTTCATTAAGTACGATCTGATGTCCGAGATGCGCCGGCGGCCATCTTATCGTTCCCGCAAGCACACCGGGGACAAGCTCTCAGCTGGCCCACACCGCCATGAGACGCCCAGTGGCTGCACCCCAACCCCACTTAAGAGGACCATCCTAACGGAGGGTAGCATCTCTCGGCTGGCGGCTTCGGAGTCTGGTCTGCCTTCCCCTGGTGGAGGAAGCAGGACTGACGGCCGGGCAGACAAGGCCAAAGGCCAGATGGTTTTGGCGACCGCCATTGAGATCTGTGTCTGAGGAGAATGCGGCAAGGTGCCAAGCCAGCATTCGGATATCAGCACCGTATCTTCTTCTGCCCTGGGACAGGTGGTGTGTGGAAGGAATCTTTTTTTAAAAAAAAACACACACCCACAAAAGATCCCCCGACTGACTGGAATTTGTGTCTCTCCAAACCACAAGCAAACAATACAGGAGAAAACCAAGGGGGGAGGGGAGAAAAAGATGACTTATCCAATTTTTTGAACAATGCAAACGGTTTGTGGCAGGGCAGCTAAGGCCACGGTAGAAATAGGCATGGTGTGTAAACCAGGAGGGAGGGAGGGGGAGGCAAAAAAAAGGACTGGGGGTGGTGGGTCGTCATGGGAGGGGGAACTGGAATTATTGGTGAGCTCGTGACACCCATTTCATCCAGACAGAAGTTGCTGTTGGGTAACTGGAGATGGGTGGGGACAGTTTGGGGAGGGGAGGGGAGGTCTTGTAGAGACAGAAAGAAGGGATTAAAGGGGTAGAAATAGGTCAGAACAGCCTTGGTGATTGGGAAAATAGGGCTCTCCCCCCCCGCCAAAGAGTCGATGCAGAGTCAAGAGCATTGCCTTGCTGACCTCTCAATCTATGGACCTCTAATGCCCATCCTCCCTGCTCTGCTGCCTGGCTGGGGAACATGGGAGTTCCCATCCTATGTACTTGAAGGATGTCTTGGGCGGGGGCTCAACCTTCAAGTCGGTTGGAACCCTCTGAGAGGAAAAGAAGCTGGATTTCATAGAGTCTTGCTCCCTCAGAAGTTCTGGGGGAGGTTCCGAAGACTTCTGTGACCCACAGCGTGTGAAATGGGGCTAGGCTGAGGCTCCCCATGACTCACCTAGGCGGAGCTTGGCACACCGTTGCCCCTTGAATAGCTCCTTCTTCCAAATTCAAAGGGACCTCTTGGAGATCCTCTGAGGAGGGGGAGAGTGTCCACCGATTAAGGCAGGCCATATCCGCCTATCATCCTTGCCTTTTCCCAACATGGAAGAGAACCCAGTTTCTGATGGGCACGGGCTCCAGAGCAGTCTTTCTCCACCTTAGCAACTTTAAGACGGGTGGCTTTCAACTCCTAGAAGTCTCCTGGCTGGGCAATTCCGGGAGTTGAAGTCCACCCGTCTTAAACGTTGCCAAGGTGGAGGAACACTGCTCCAGGGGAACCTTAAGTGCTGAGCTGGGAAGATCTGAGCTTTCACAACGTGGCCAGGAAAGCATTTGGTGCCACTGATGTAGCAAATGTTTTCTGTGTCTCTTGTGTGTGTGGGTGTGCGTGGGTGTGAATGTGTACCTGTGCATCGGTGTGTCTCTACATTTGTCAGGTCAACAGTAGCTGTGTGTTGTGCGGCCATTCACCGCTCAGGAAAAGAGACTTTCCCCTTTGTTCCTAGGGCCAATGGGAAGACCAGGTGGGCACTTAGGTCTACTGGCACAGAAGCCAAAAGGGGAGGGCCTTTGGATGGGATTGGTGCTGCCTCTGGGATCCCTCAAGATATGGGAGATGCTGATTCTTATTGTTCCATGCCTCTGGCTAGGCTGTCCAGGTTGGTCCAACTATCTGAGTGGTCCAGTACATCTACCTTCTGCTGTGTGAATAGTATGCTAGCAAGAAGAGAGGAGAGGAAGTTTCCTCATCATGGGGTCCTTGGTGCTTTTTGAACTTGGTTGTTCTCTTGCAGACAACTCTCGTGACCCAACTTGATAACATCATCAGTGCTAGAAGAGAGTGGGTTCGCTCTCTACTTCGGACTTAGTGGCTTGCCCTATCAGTGTTGGTGAGAGTGTTCTTGGCAGTTCCTTGATTAAGATATTGTTTACTGTTTGATTGTCTATCTGCATTGGTAGTTCCATGTTTGGGGTGTTGCTTACCACTTGGTTGTTGGGAGGAACTAGGAACTACCAACTCAGACAAACGATCCAATAGTAAACAACAGCCTAATCATGCCGCCTCCAAGAACACACTCACCAACACCGACAGGGCAAATCCCTTGTTGTTGCTGTTAATTGCGAAGTCGTGTCCGACCCATCGCGACCCCATGGACAACATTCCTCCAGGTCTTCCTGTCCTCTACCATCTTCTGGAGTCAACCACTTGTACATAAACAGAAAACAAACCCCATTCCCTTCTAGCACTGATGACGTTACCCAGTTGGGTAATAAAACATTAGTAGGGAAACAACCAAGCTCAGGCCCCCAGTTCACCCCAAACTACAAATATTCTTCTTCTATTCTAGTTTTCCAAGGGTCCACAGGGCAGGAGCAGGGAAATCAGGGCCCAGCAGATATTCCTGAGCCACCCCCAACAGTCCAGGCATTGCGGTCAGTGCTGATGGATGTTGGGCAGTCACAGGACATCCCAGAAGAGCCCTTCTTGGATTTGGTGGCACCATCTTCTCCCCCAGAAGGTAGTCTGGGCTAATGTCCAGAATTCTCAGTCCCATTGGTTGGAGAATTCTGAGGATTGAAATCTTAGAGCAGTGGTTCTCAACCTTTTTAATGCTGCGACCCCCAACCGGTCGTAAGTCGAGGACTACTCAACCGGCTATAAGTCGAGGACTACTCAACTGGTGCAGCACCGTTTGCAGAATGGGACTTTTGGCGGGCTCAGCAGGGCAGAGACAGCCTGGACAATTCCTATTGGCTTTTGAAAGCCAATAGAATTACACTCTATTCAAGAGAGTCTCTTCTGTTGGCTTTCAAAAGCCAACAGAAGAAAAGGGAGTAGCACAGCTAAAGAAAAGGGGGGAAAATGGCGGACTGCGTTGTTTGGCGACCTCCGTGAAATGGTCGTTTGACCCCAAATGGGGTCCCGACCCACAGGTTGAGAACCACTGACTTAAAAACTCCTGATTGGGGAAAAAATTAATTGAAGGAGGTTTTTGTTTATGATTGTAATGTTGGGCTCAAATATCTTCTTCAAGTTCCAGCCTGCCACATTTCGAGCTATTCTACGTGGGTTGAGGTGAGGGAACTTGTCCTCTGCAGGTGTTTCAAATGCAAATGCTGTATTCTTTATATGCAAGTATCAGCCCTGGTGTAGAGAGTGAACTACAATGTAGAATCCCTTTTCTCCAGAAAGATTCTTATGTGTTCAGAACCAAGGCGATCTGGACTCTGAATGGTGCTGAAATCCTTCATGAGCAAGGAAGGGGTCCAGTTCAGTTGGAAACGTCTAATTCGGTCTAAATCTGGTCTGTTTTATTGTCAGTGTTAGGAAGACAGAGTTCTGATCCATTCTAGGTTTTTTTAAAAAAAAAAATCCACCAAAGAATTCCACTTGGGTTAGAATTCCACTTGGGTTCACACATTAACTTAAGAAGCACTTGTATCTATCTTCCCTTAATGGACAGAGTAGCTGTTAATGTAAACTCGTCTTTCTTAAAAGGTGAATTTTGCTGATAGTCTTTTGGGGGGCGCATGCATTTCCTTTTCCTCAATCCCAAAGCAAGCTGTGTGAAATGTTCTAAACCCCCCCCCCGCCCCTTTTACAGTGGGTCTTTCAGAAACATCCAAAAGTGGATGTTAGATTTGGAGTGGATTTTTAACAACAAAGCAGTTGCGTTTCTTGGCGGTGCTTTGTATGTGTTGGCATGGAATTTGGAAGATCTTGCAAATTTGCTCCTATGGAAATCTGTAATGCAGCGTTTCTCAACCTGGGCAACTTTAAGATAAGGTGAATTTCAACTCCCAGAATTCCCCAGCCAGCTGTGCTGGCTGGGGAATTCTGGGAGTAGAAATTCACTTTATCTTAAAGTTGCCCAGGTTGAGACATGCTGCTGTAATGGGTTTGTTTAATATCTCTAAAGTCAAAAGAAATCCCATATTCCTCCCTAACTGCTCTTCTTTGGAGTAGTTTCCAACCAAGATTTGCTAACACCTCTGTAACCCAACAAGAATTATCTGCAGAGTCCGAATTGCTACCCCATTTTATCTTAAATTTCAAGTGAGAATGTGATAAGCTGCCAAGATGTCAAATGAGGTAACACACCATTACGTAAGTCTCCCTTGGGGCGAGATCCCTGTAATCTTGCAATCCTGGCCATTTTATATTATTTCAGCCATTTAATTTTAATTCCTTTAGATGCTAGGCCAGCTGTCCCAGTTCTTCTGCTCTGCATATATTTCAAGCACCTGAAGTTTAAAGAAAGACAGAAGTGTTTCTGGATTTCTACCTTGCTAAACATTCTGGGAGAAGAATTGCTATAAACTGTGAGTTGAAAAGAAGTGGGGAGGACCAAAGCAGCTAAGGCCCTATTGATTGGATACTTCAATCAATTTAAAACTGCTCAGAGTTTGCTGGGAATTTCTTTCTTGCTGGGAATTTGTTGCTTGGAATTGAGAAGAAGAAGAAGAAGAAGAAGAAGAAGAAGAAGAAGAAGAAGAAGAAGAAGAAGAAGAAGAAGAAGAAGAAGAAGAAGAAGAAGAAGGAGAAGAAGGAAGAAAGAAAGAAAGAAAGAAAGAAAGAAAGAAAAAGAAAGAAAGAAAGAAAGAAAGAAAGAAAGAAAGAAAGAAAGAAAGAAAGAAGGGAGTCTCATGAAAATACCCACTGCCTAACAGAGACTGTCAAATGACATCAAGGGCTCATTTCAAACCACCCCTCAGTCTAGGCTGATGTTTTAGGGAACCTGTTTTTTTAGGGGGGGGGGAGAGTAGATGGAGGAATGGGGTTCAAGAGAACCTGCAATCATTAAAGGATAACAGAACCGCAGCCTTCCCAAAGGACCCACCGCTAAGGTTGTACAGTAAATAATCTGCAGATGTTGCCTCTAGCAGAAGATTCCTTGGCAACTCTGTGACCATGACAATGCTAGGATCCAGTAACCAAGTGATGGGAAAAAATATCAGCCAAGATCTTTCTTTAAAAAAAAAAAAAAAGTTCAAAGGGACAAGTGTGATTATGATGTGAGGACTCAGCTTGGTAACCCAATTTAGCAATTCAACTATTTCCTCCACTTGCTCCCAAGATGTTCTGGACCAATTCCTATTAAAACAGGGATATCCAAACTTGGCAAATTTTAAGACTTGTGGACTTCAGCTGCCAGAATTCCCCAGCCAACCAGCCAGCCTACAACTAAGGAGAAATTTCCTGACAGTGAGAACAATTAATCAGTGGAAGGGCTTGCATTCAGAAGTTACGGGTGCTCCTACTCTGGAAGTTTTTAAGAAGAGATTGGACAGCCATTTGTCTGAAATGGTATAGGTTTTCCCTGCTAGATGACCTCCAAGGTCCCTTCCAACTCTGTTATTCAGATGCCAAGGTTGAACACTCCTGCGTTAAAGTCTGCA